TATTTATCTATCTATCTAATGATAAGGCCTATGTCTAAAAATAATTTTAATATATTTTTTATTTCCAGATCATAATATTTTGCCAAAAGAGTGTGTCGCCACAGCTGACCTGCTGCTTCTTGTAGATAAACTCTGACACGTTCAATGGTCATAGAATTCTCCTCATTTCAAACTGTGATTGTGTGTGGATGAAACATTACCTGTATTAAACTCAATGAGATTTGAAGTAAATAAAAATGGTATAAAAATTTTTGTTGTGGTACCATCCATTAAAAATTGGATACATGACATTCATGCCATAAGGGAGTTATTTTTTGATTTAAATAAATATCATGGAGTAAGCAGTCTTTTAACAAGAAACTTAAATCAGGATCCCTTAGAGATTTTTTTTTGTAATATTCGAAGTAATGGGAACCGTAATGTATCTCCAACTTGCTCTCAATTTATTGGAGCATACAAAACTTTACTAGTAAATAATTTAACTTCGCCACATTCTATTGGTGCAAACTATGAACATGACAATAACAAAATTTTAAAACCTTTAAGTTGCCTTATTAATTCGACATTAAGAGTTAGAGATACATTAAATTGAAAAATAAATGTGGATTCTTTACTTTGTTGCAAGCAAATGTCAATTTAAAACCCAGCAACATAATCAGCATAGAAGCTAAACGCTATGTTGCTGGCTATTTAGTACATAAGTGTATTAAAAATGTATGTAAAGATTGTAACACATGTAAAATGCAGTTGTTAAGCACAACACCTCCTGCTAATGATAACTATATTTTATTTAGTGATTACACTAAAAAATCCTGTAAGTATCCGTCGGAGGTGTTGTGTTCATTTTTAGATGATGTTTGTGCAGTCATACAAACACAATTAGGTGAAGAACCACAAACAAAAAATATAAAAGAAAAAAATATTCAAAAAGCTGATTTATATTGTGATTTTTCGTTTCTTTCTTGCGAAACTCATAAAAACCTTAAAGGAGTTTTATTAAATTATATCATACATTTAATAATTCATAGTTGGTGCACCAAAGTTATCAGGCTGCTTACGGGAAAGTTTACAAATTGTCAAAATAATGAGCGTGATGTTAAAGTCCAAGCGATTAAATATTATAATACTCACAAAAAGAAAAACATAATGTTATTAATTAATACTTCCTGCGCAATTAATAAATAGTGCTTATTGTTATTTATATTTCCTCAAATTATGTCGATTAATCAATGCTACAATATTTTTGTATTATTATGTATAATGTAAGGATTAAGCTAACTAGAATCTTATTTTACTGATTTGGCTAGGTTATCTACTGCTTCTCAACTTCCGATGGAATATATTAATATTTAATGTTACTTATTCCTGTATTATTAAATAATATTTGTCCGTAAATAATCATTAGAATAATTAAGATAAACAATGGTTAATATTATTTTTTAAGTTTTCAAATTTAATATTAAATTAGGATAAGATGTTTTTTTGTATAAATACGGCCAGCTTAAATATATCAGGCGTTGGTATTGTAACCGTTGTAATGAGCATTACAAGTGTTTTCCTATATAACGTATGGTCATTTACGCCGCCACCCTGATAACCCACCTTTAAGTGTGCTAAGTAAATAATGAAAATAGAGGCAAAACACCAGAAGTTGGATTTTTGAACCTATGCACATTATTTATTCTTATTTTAATTTCATTATAAAATTGAAATTTGCATTTTCCCTATTAAATTCGAATAACATTAAGCGCCATCTAGTGGCGTCCGCGTCCTAGCTATTAAATGCAGCGACATCTTGCGTACACGGTACATGGTAGTTTTCCAAACTGAAACCCAGAGTGGCGCATCTATTTCTAATATAGTGTATTATCTATGGTACACTGTACGATACTTTTCGTTACTCAGAAAACAAGTAACGTCTGGCTGCCCTGGGCTGTTACGTACTCTATAAAAGAATTTGCGTTGCTGCGCAGTCAGCACAACATTGTTTTATAGTTGATCTCCGTAAATGACCTAACCTGACCACGTGTCTTAATTTCGCATTCAACTCAAGTGCCTCTCAATTGCCTTTCACAGGAATACTGGTATTCTTAATACCCGTGCTTTGCCAATACTCTTATTACCTAAACTATATAGAAAAGACTTGTTGTTTTAGGTGACCCTTATGATCCATTCTTACTTTCTCATAAACATATACCTTACCCTTAACATTAATTCGTTTATGAGACGAAACCTGTCAGCGTTCATGAATTCTCCGTGCGGGTAATGGGGTCATAGCGTTGTAGAGAGAGCTTTAACAGTGCCTGGGACTTGCAAACCAAGCACCTCTCGAAATTTGAAACGAACATACTAAGGCTGTCTTGACGCACAATCCAAGAATGAGCCGGATTATTAGTGTTTAGTTTAAACGGTTATTTTCTATAATTTCATTTGAAAACGTTGTTCTCTATAGGCTTTTAACGACAGAACATACATTTTTTAAATTAATTTATATCAGTCTAATTATACATGAAGCGTCGGGGTTAAATAAAACAAGGATAGAATTTTCAACGTAAATAATTTTATTCAAACTAGTCTATTGAACATCACTAATTGATAAACACTGTACATCTGCAAATATGGGATTAAGATATTGTTAATAATAACTAAATGTTAAAAACTTTTAATACTTACATTTTATTAATATACATAGAATTAAAACATTCAATTAATAGTATATACTATTTAGCACGAGAAAATAAATACCTATTAAAACCATTCCTTATAAATGTTACTATAGTGTAGTACTTAAAGTAAAATTATAACACAACAGTTACACACATTAAGTTGATCAAACACAAAGTGATTTATTAAAATTCAATAAGTCACATGTTGCACACAGTTTTCAATGTCTGTTATTTATTTACAATCATGTAGAACTTAAAAGAATTATATGAACAAATATCAAAAATATAAACCACAATACTTTCAACATATGCCAATTATTTTCCGCAGTGTCGATTTAAAATCTTTGGTAGGAAATTAAAAAAGGAATTAAAAAAAACAAGCATAATCATTTAACTTATCTGTCATATTATAGATAAAATTAAGTATATGTCATGCGAAACATGGTATTATTATATTTAAGGCATACAATGTCAACATACATTTAAAAAATAAATTAAGTACAGATAATGATAATATTTTATATTGCATTGCACTAAAATTATACAATTAAAAAATAAAATTGTGAGTAAAGGATAATAAAGCGTTGGGACATTGTTTTATTAATAGCGCCATATTTGCAGATGGTCATTACTTTAGTAAGAAAATAAAATTCTCAATAAATAAATGTCAAACACTATATGGTGCGACATTCCACACCGTATAACACAATTCCTTACTATATAAATGATTAACAAACAACTTTGCACCTCTCCTACGTGTCGAGGATTTTCCATCGGTGTGCTATGTCATGAGATTCAATGCCTACAATACAGATTGCCACTTGAGCAAATAATATTGATTACATACTTAGCCTAGCCATGCGGGACGTGAGGTGGGTATCTACGATATTTAGATAAACTTTATAACTATTTGTCATATATTATTTTGTAACACGCCAGTACAGTAAAATATAAATATTGCTTCACAAAGATGATTCTTCATGGGCACAAATTTCTCAATTTACCCTAGCAATCTGAGTTAACAAACATAAACAATATTTTAAATTTCTACAATATACAATTTTACATTAAAATGATTTACAGTTAATCGAAGCACGTAAATCTGTTCTGTGAATAAATAATTTTTTTAATTACACAATCCAATAAAAAAGAAATCGTTACCACGAAATAATATAATCTATATTAAAATTTGCACAATAAACACAAGCATAATATTTAATAGTGAAAGCTTGATATTATAAATTAGTATTCAACTCGCGTGTAATGTTTGAGACGAAACACTTTCTAATATTAAATCTGATAGGAATTTTACCGAGCGGTATAAAATATATTAAAATCAACAAGATTTTAAAAACACGTGACTATCTAATGGGCATCTAAGGGCGGTGATAAATTGCTTATACGTGTACCACCAACGGATTCCATATTGCTTACAAGTTCTACGGCACTTGTGTGTAAATTGATGTTAGAGATTCTAAGATAATAATTACAATAACAGCTCTGTGATATTATAGCGACGTTATAAAGACTGATCCGATTAACGAAATTATAGAAAGGGTATTTGACATGATAATTTACATAGTATATTTTATGGCACTACTAGAATATACGTTTTACAGCCAATATTGATTGAAATGAGACCAATTTTTGATTCATTAGTCCCCTCAATCTGATCAAAAATGGAGATAAACAAGCGATCCTGTCGAATACCCCATCTTAATTTTTCAATAGCAAACAACAAGTTCAGCTACTTCGATTTTATCCAAATGCACTATCCTGTCCGCATTAAAGGATTTTCCCTTTATATATTTTATATTTTCGATTGTCTTCAGAATACAACATGCCACAAGTCAATTGTCTTTATTAACTTTCGATAAACTCACACATCCCCAACCACATTTAAGCATTGCATCGAATTATCCGCCGATTATACACCAACCTAAGAGCAATATATAAACTTCTTGATACCAGGAAATTCAGGGCATTTTTCAGGTACACTATAGGATGTTGGGTTCCGTGACGTTCATAAGGATTGAGGACTTTCTGATTATACCTTCGTCGTGTTATTTGTTTCAGGTTCAAAGATTTTCTCTTTTCACAGCCCTGAATCAACAATCTGTATCTTCTCATGGGCGATGCGTCCAGGGTTCAATACTCAACTTCATATTCGGATATTTGATGAAGCTTCAAGGTTTTCCTGTGGAGACAGCCCTAAGTTATGTTTTAGATATCCTCGTATATCTAGAAGCCGATGCGTTTAGTGTCTACCCCCGGCGGGTAGAACATCAGCGGGGTAGTGGGGATAGTGTGGTAGCTGTAGGTGGTGGATATTGCTCAGAGCGGCTCCCGGCGCGGCACCCACACGCTCGGCCCGCTCTCAGCCGTGATGACCGCCTTCACGCGCGCGTAGATCTCTTCTGGTGTATCGCCGGTCACCACCGCTGGAATAAACACAATATACATGTAAATATATGATGAACGTTGATAAACTGATAAGAAACTAATGACAAGCGACAGAGTTGATAAGAGTGACAGAGACGGCACTATATGAAACCGAAGATAGCCGAGTATCTCTATCTGAAGCACGACGCGACTTAATGGCCTGGTACTGTACTATGTTTAATATTCATATTTATAATTCAACTAGCAAAAATGAAGTAATAAAGAGCAACATGTGACCTGAAGCGGCAATGACGAAACTTTTCCTGTTACTTAAATATTTTTCTACATGCTTGATTGAACTACAAGTACGGGAAATTATAACAAAGTTGTTCTTACCTGTGAAATATTCTGCAAATTCTTGCTCCATTTTAAGAGCGCGTTCGTAAGTTTTCTTCGCTTGTTCTTCAGTCATTCGCTTCGTCATTTCCCTGAAAATGATAAAATAACATTGTATATTTGTAATAAAAATTATCTTATACAGCTTGTTGGTGGTTTATACTTACAAAATTGATTCTACACTCTTTGGTTTAATAAATATGGCAATGGGATATAGTTGGGCTACTTGCAACCTCTTAATGGCGTTTCCGCTGACATCCAAAATGCAGTGCTTCCCCTAGAAAATAATAACAAAAAATATTTACACTATGTATTAAAGAGAGTATTACAAGCCTATTTAAATGTAAAAAAATGAACTTTAGTAAATTTGGAAAACAATTTTACGAGTCCTTGCGAGAACTGAGTACTAAAAGATGGAAATACCTTTAAAATATTTTAAATTAATAGAACATTGACTAGGCATGTATTAAATATTTTGTTCCATATAGTATTTTGTTCCATATGTTCATAATACACACATACATATAAATATAAAACCTTGAATTAGTCTGTATCAAATATCTTGTTCTGTCATATAAATTATACATCATGTTCATAATACATATAAATCCTACTTAATATTATAATAGCGAAAGTTTGTGTGTGTGTATGTTTGTTACTTCTTCAGGCTCAAACGGCTGAACCGATTTTGATAAAAAATTTTATACAGGAAGCTGACGTCCAGGAATAACACATAGGCTACTTTACATTCCGGAAATCCGCGGGGCGCAGCTAGTATATATATAAATGTATAATCTTGTTTAAGTCTAAGTATCCAATATGTTTTTCCATCATAGACATTATACATCATGTTCATAATCCGTACCTTCTCAGCGACTTCCCTGACGGAGGCGACCGATGTGCCGTACAGATTCTCATTGTATTGTCCCGCCTCTATAAACAGATGGTTCTGTATATCTCGCTCCATCTGTTCCCTGCTCGACACGAAGTGATAGTCACGACCGTCAACCTCGTAATCACGACGAGGACGAGTTGTATCTGAAGCGATATAAAATTATATACTTAATTTAATCATATATTATATTTTCTTTGGTAATTAAAGTTTTATGTATCTAATATCTATATTCAATGTCAATGAATTGTGAAAATTGTATTATCTGTTTTTGCTTTTCTTGTTTGATATCGGATAAAGACTAAATTCTGTAGATTTTTGACTAATATTTATAATTTTTATATGGAAACATATATAAGCAACAATAGTTATGTAACGAGCATTATATAAGACATATCTCTTATTATATTCTCATAGTAGACACTACCTTTATACACAGCACATTCATTACATACTGATGCTTTGAGAATATTATTGATTATTATCATATAATACAAGCAATCATACTGTCTTAATACATCTAAACCAAGGTAGTGAAAACCAAAAGACTCTCTCAATGGTAAGTTTTTCGTAACCTATGTAAATGTTCACATTACTCACGAGGCACACAGCTTCCAAACTTGTCAGGGAACTCGGATATAAGGTCATCGTTGATCCTATCCTTCAGAGGTCCAAGTATTATCACCGGCCTTGTATAATTTATGGTCAATTGTTGAACCGTCTCATACGACAACACCGCCTCGTCTTGACCTGGAAATATACAAATAAATTAAGAATCCTTATAATAGAAAAAAAACTAAAGCTAGGAAAAAACCTAATCTATTCTATGTCAAAATCACGATATGTTTCTATTTTCTGTGGCTAATGGCTCTTTATGACCTGAAATAGTTTAAAGCGTCTCACTGTTTTCTATTTTAGCGGCTATTTCTTATGACAGGGTATATTTTTATTTATGCTACACTCAATGGAACTTTCAAAAGCTGAAGATTTTCCGTGCCACGTGCTCTAAACCTAGTATTTCTGATTATTCTTATTATGAATAACATATGTGTACACAATGACATAACCGTCCTTGCACACTTGACAATTTTGTTTGTAAACAAATGTAAGACAATTATTATGTAATGTTATTAAACTACATATTATTATAATTAAGCATAATTTTTGCTTTTAAGATAATTTTCTTGTCTGTAAAATAATTCTTTGTGTTTAAATTGTATAAAAAAACATCTACTGACATTTATAATATAAAATTCAATAGAATCGCATGTTTTTTTTTATAGAATCCCTTACCTTTTCTAATTTAAATAATACATTTATTCACAATATAAATAATCTAACCTAGCCATTGAATAAAATCCACAAACATGCTCAACATAATAACAAAATTATATCTAAAATAGAGTCAGAATTTAACCTACCAAAAATATATATTCATTTTTAATTTATCTTGTATTTTTGACAGATATTTTCTGACTAAAAATAACACTAAGAAAAGTACATATACAGATATTGATAAAAAATCTTAGCATTTATAAAACCTTGAAGCTATTATAAAAAATCTACAATCCGAATAAACCAGCCATATCTGAAAAATATTAAGCCATGATATATAACGCTTTGTTTCTATAACATATCCATCGATGGTCAAAAGGCATTTCTCACAATATATGTACAAATCATTGAAGAATTTGAACAAATTAATACAATTCATACAGTTCATTTACGACTATAATTAGGAATACAAATACCTTGTATGTAAATCATATTGTATATTAATATTGAAGGATCTATATATTTTTCTAGTTATGATACCATCAATGGACAGTTATATGAAACACAGTCTTTATCATGCCAGTGACGTTTTGCTAAGCGGCGAGTGCTAACATGCTAGAGCTGTATTGTCCTCGTGTGCTTCCAGTGGCAAACTCCCATAAAAACTGTTTGGCTACGCGTCACATTACTAGTATGTGAATCTCGTGAGACTAGAATCATCGCGTTCATGTATTAGATATATATATATGTATATAGAGAAAAAAAATGACAGATAATAAAGACAAAAATAATAATATAAAAAAAATCGTGTTATTGATATGAAAACTACATTTCTATATGATGATCATAACCATAATGCGGGAGGTAAGGTAATTCGGCTACGGCACTCTCAAGCTACGCCTCACTCCCATAACTTACAATCGTCCTCGAGATATATGAGCGTTATCTCCTCCATCATGGGAAGTTCCACTCGGTACAAGATTTCCCCTACATGTACAAAAATTAAAGTTATATACACTTAGGTTTAAATGCATCCGTATGGAGAAGATCTAGACGATATGTGATGATACATGAAACGTTAAGTGTCTAAAGGAACACATCGCCGGTGTACAGAATAGCTGACGGATACAAGGAGCAAATAAAAATATATAATGTATATTGGATGGGTGGAAGGCTTCAGTAAGGCAACTAGAAGCACTGGACGGTAACCGGTCCGTGTGTCGAACGCCTAACACGGGACACGTGACACATGATCGAACATACACTGAACGATCATGTGGATATCGCACGGTTACACAATAAGTCCCAAACGACGCTCGTCTTTCAAGCAACAGTAATAACGCATATTCGATTTAAACATTACATAATAACAAAATTTCTATAATTAATCATAAAGCATTATCATGCTTCCCATATACAACTACAAGCGTTAATTTACTCACACAGATCCAATTCCCAACCATATAATAGAAAATAAATCAACTAAATACATTTCTTATAACAATATAAACGTCCCTACATTTATAAACACATCGAATGTATATTTTAATAATAGTAAATAACTACTAATACAATTTTATTTATTTTATATGTTAAATTCATCTAACGATCGTTTGTATTTGAAACATTTTTGTCACATGTTATATTAGATTAAGCACACAGATCCAAATCCATTTGATAGTGTTGTTAGCAGCCGCATGAAGTTGCTTTTAGCATCGAAATCTTATCGATCATTGTACATCACTAGCCTAACGTTTGTGTATGATATGTGTTTGATCGATAAGAAAACGCATTAACCTACGTACAGCGATAGCGAAATTATTATACACAGTGCCCACTCACCGTCCGCGTTAGCGTCCTCTTGAGTGTAGCAAAGCATGAAAGCTGAAACAAAATTATTTATTACATTGTGCCGTTATATAGTATATATAATGATTGTTAAAGAGCATTTGAAATTAGATAAACCTTATTTTTTATAGAACTAGCAAACGCAATTTATGCGACTTGATTGTGACATATTGTGCCATGAAGTAATTTTTTTTATTGTTAGTGTTGCCACACGAAAATATTGGTCTCCTTATTCAATGTAGGCATTATATAAAGTATAATTTATTTATAAAAGCACATTTGAATTTCGAATGTTTTATATTCGAATATTTTATATGGTTTAGTCTGTTTATATAATGTAGGCATTATATAAAGTATATTTCAGTTATAAAAGCGATTTTAAATTTAGAATGTTTTATATTCGAATATTTTATATGGTTTAGTCTCCTTATATAATGTAGGCATTATGTAAAGTATAATTCAGTTATAAAAGCGATTTTAAATTTCGAATGTTTTATATTCGAATATTTTATATGGTTTAGTCTGTTTATATAATGTAGGCATTATATAAAGTATATTTCAGTTATAAGAGCGATTTTAAATTTCGAATGTTTTATATTAGAATATTTTATATGGTTTAGTCTCCTTATATAATGTAGGCATTATATAAAGTATAATTCAGTTACATATAAAAGCGATTTTAAATTTCGAATGTTTTATATTCGAATATTTTATATGGTTTAGTCTCCTTATATAATGTAGGCATTATATAAAGTATAATTCAGTTATAAAAGCGATTTTAAATTTCGAATGTTTTCAAGTCGAATATTTTATACGGCTTAATGTTAGCTTGTATTGCCTGTGCATTTATGTGCATATATTTTTATATACTTACGCTCCTGGTCCGAGCCGTCTTCAGACTTGCCGTCTTCTCGACTCTTCATGAAGGGGAACTTCCTGCTGAACGACAGAGTTTTCTTTTTCCTCTCTAACGTGGATTGGCTCTGGAATAGTACATATAGATTTACATGAATTACTTTTATGAATGCCAAAATTTCTTGAATTCAAAGAAAAAATTCTTTCGATAAATTATTATCAATACATAATAATATATTACATAAAATTCGGAGATATATATGTATGCACTAGATTAAAATTCATTGATTAGCTGATACCATCTATACTATAAAAGATAAATGTATCCAGTGCTACAAAGTTTTTAATACGAAATTTCTTCTTCATATATGATTCTATTTGATTCTACAGTAATATTATGTTAACTCACTGTGCTGACGGGTGTTCCTTGCCCCTGGAACTTGACTTGTCTATCTCTTGCTCGTTGTTTCCTTTCCCAGCGCCGTTTGGAAGGTATGATACCTACACCGTCCGCATCAGAAGAATCCAGGCGTCTGGAAGCAATACATTATTCATTTACATACTAAATGTCGCTTGTTACTTTGATTACTATGGTGCAGTTACCCAAAGTGGATAATATACCTCTTTGTGGGTATTGCAATCTTAAAGGAGTCAAAAGACCCAAAAAAAGGCTTGGGGGTGATTTATAATTTCATTTAGCTAGAATAAGCTATAGTGATTTGCCAGTAGGTAAAAAACAGGAACGCTAAACAGTAATTTATTCTCGAAGTGGGCACTAACAAAATAAGTTTGGGAACCACTGATTTAATGGGTACTTTTAATGTAAATAAAAGATTGAGATTAGTATTTGAGCGTTTTGGTTATCCCTACTAATATTATAAATGCGAAAGTAACTCTGTCTGTCTCTCTGTTACGCTTTCATGCCTAAACCACTGAACTGATTTTAACAAAATTTGGTACAGAGATAGTGTTGACCTTGAGAAAGAACATAGGATAGTTTTTAAATCAGACTTTTGAAAGGTTCTCTTGGAAACGCGATATAACCGAACTCACCGCAGGCGAACCTGCGGGCGGAAAGCTAGTTAAATATATATCTTTAATGTTATTAACTAGCATTATATGTAATACCTCGCCTGCCACCACTCATCATCAGAGGCGTTGGTAACGTGAAGGATGTCTCCGTAGCGGAAAGGAAGACCTCTTGATGGTAGACCGTCATCTCTTACAGGATCGTAGTCAAATAAGGCCCTGGAATTGATATATAACGTAAGTAATTTTATTGAGTTTAGTGTTTTGGTGTATATAAATAGTTGTTAGAAATCATCCTTACAGAGAATTTATTTCTTTAATAGTGTTATATTATCTTTTAGATATCTTTATTTTTTTAAGTACAGTCTTGGAAATTCATCTGTTGACCTTCAATATATACTTTCCAATCAAGAGTAAACATTTTCATAGGTTGGGAATTAGATTACATAGATCGATAGCTTACCTTACATACAGTGATCGTTTTTGTGAGGTTCTTAGTAGTGTGTGATGTTGTTTCAATTCATTAATCCTGGCTTCAAATTTATTATATTCCTGTGGCCTGTACACGACGGTCAGCTTGACGTTCTGCCCTGTGCTCTGTAAAGAATTATATATAATTTTTATAATTATGTTTCAGTATAATGAGTATAATCTTTAACAATATTATTTTATAAGTCATTATAAAAGTGTGACTTTTTATTGGGCCATAAAATAGTCTGTTTTTAGATATAATTAACCACTATCTTATATATTTTCAAGTGTATAATGTTGTTTCATATTATAATTAATAATGTAACCAAAAGAAGTACATGAAAAAATTTATTTAATTGGATGCATGTTATAATTACACAGGTACATAAAAACTGAAAGATTTGTATAATTAAGCACAATTTCCATAAACAATTACTATTTTAATATAACAGGTAGAAATATATGTTTAAATTAATTAGCTCATCACATTGTACTTGTACAAACAAATAGGTCAGTAGACTGTGAATTCTCTCATGCGTCAACGGACCATAAAAATATTTAAATCAGTTAAATTAATTCAAAAACTAAAGGCGTATGTACACGTGAGTCACGGTTCTTTTAAACACTGTTATGCAACTCAATTAAACTGGTTGTTCTGTCAATCATGATGTATAAACCTGTAGTTATTGATATTTAAATGTAAGCATCATATTTAGTTTCTACTAAATATGTAAAAAACAGAATTTGCGGTAATGTTTTATAAAGGAAACTTTAGAAAATTTGTAATTATATAGCTTAATTTTATTACGATTAATACATTACAATTTTGTTTGTTTTACGATTTATATTAAAATAGGAAATTGCTTAATTCGAATTTATTAATTGCATGTTATTTTTTCTAAAATTATGACATGTATTTACAAAACTAAGAAATATTTTGTAATCAAATATGTAGTTCAAAATCTTAATTTATAAATAGCATCACGTACAACTAGTGTCCGCAAACACGCGTGACGCATACTTAACAACTGTGAGTAACTGGCTTTATATTTGTTTGATAAAGATTATGTTCTATGATTAAGCAGCTCAATGTTAACGTATAAAATCTTGTACTTAATTTTTTTGAAACTAATAATAACTTTTTGCGTTGCATTCTAACAATTTAAGAACAAAATGTTGTAGTAATATTATTTGCAACACTTCTATGACTTCCCCGTTTAACATCAATTTTTAACAATTAGTTTTGTTATCTTGGAATGCTGAATATTTTTATTTAAATTTCCTGATAAAAGAATATTACTTAAAAATAATATTATAAAAGTGCCTAACAAGAGTTTGCTTCGTTAAACTGAATACGAAAAGTTTCCAGTCATAAACTTACACAAATCACGTTTCTGTATGAAAATCGCTAGGAATTTATTTTTACGACGCAAACTTGTGATAAGCTTGTAAGTCACTAAGCCATTTGTACCTCACTCTTAGTACTATTCGAATATTTGTAGTACGTCGTAGTTTTACTACGTAGTATCTAATAACCTTAATACACGTCTTAGCGGTAACCTTGATGACTGAGCTGTATTTTGTAGTAGAGCGTAGTACTAACGATATAAACACTAGTTATGTAATCTTAGTGTTTTTAGTATCCTACTTATATTATAATTGCGAGCGTTTGTCAGGGTGTGTATGTTTGTTACTTCTTCACGCTCAAACGGCTGAAGCGATTTTGATAAAATTTTGTATACAGGAAGCTGACGTCCAGGAATAATACATAGGCTACTTTACATCCCGGAAATCCGCGGGTAACACGGCGGGGTTTAGCTAGTTATAGTATATAGTACCTTGAGAGCCTTAGCCGCCTGTTCGTGGGTAGCAGATGTGATGTTTTCATCGTTTACAGCCAATAAGCGATCACCTCGTCGTAATTGACCCGATCTCTCGGCAGGCCCGCCAGCGAGAAGGAACGATACATATATACCGTGACCGTCCTCGCCGCCCACGATGTTAAAACCAAGGCCTTGCGGGCCCTTCTCTAATTCCACCACACGCGGCTCCTCTCCATCAACCACGTCCTCCCTCCGCAACGAATTAGCGGTGCTTGAAGCTGGAATATGTTTATTGTTTATTATTTACAATTGTACTGACAGTTTGTTTGTTCTACCTGGCAATTTCCCAGCTTCAGCCAGTCGCGAATAGTTTTGGCTAATTGTTTTTATGATCGGCCGCCTGTCTGACATCAACCTTCTTTGGGAATGCATTAGTCAGTGATGTCTAAATACTGACAGTATCAAAAGATATAATTTGAATCAATAACTATTGTAACTTGTTTATATTATGATACCAATATCATAATAGTAAGTAGTCTGCCGCTTTGAATAGACGTGTTGCCGATTATACTAAAAATAAAATATTAAAAAAAGACAAGACATTGAAGTTAACACCTAATTAGAACAACATAAAGAACACAATTCGTCAGCTTCGCTTGTTAGGACTTACTGCGTTTTATCCTGATAAGGGCATGTGCAGCTCCCCTCACCTCCTCGAGTAAACGAGTAAGTTGCTATTTTTCGTTTCACTCAATTGTCGCTTCGTCAAGCTGTGACTCATTACGCTATCGACAAATCTAAGTAACCATGAGTTCACAATCACTAAGCGTTAGCGGAAAACTCATAAGCGATAGCGGAAGTGGGTCATCACCAGATTTACGAACATTAGATGACTGCAATGTCACGATTAGAAAAGCGAAATACGGATGTGATTGTGCCTCTTTAATTAACGAATTTCGGAAGGAGATGATGTCTTTTTTTCAAGATTTTACAAAAACGCACCACGAATGTTCTTTATCTTTACAAAATGAAATAAAAGATGAATTAAAGTCTAATAATGCTGCTTTAGAGTCTTTATTATTGGAGCAAAACCAAATGAAAGTCGACTTAAAAGAAATGAAGTCACTAACAGACACTATAAAACAAAAAATACACGTCCTTGAAAGTGATATTTGTCTTTTAAAAAATAAATCTAAAACTGACTATCAAGAAGAATATCCCTTGTCATGCGAAGAAACTATTTCAGAGTTACAAGAACGCTGTCGGCGAGAAAAAAATGTCATACTAGTAGGGATTCCTGAAACAAAAAGTCCTAGTAGCATAATCAGACGTGATTATGACAAGAAGGAAGCTATGAAATTAATTAAAACTATTTATGAAGACTGCCCAAACCCTACTACAGTTTTTAGGCTAGGAAAATACAACCCTAACAAAGATAGATCTCTAAAAGTGTGCTTCGAGAAAAAGGAAACTGCAAAACGTATACTTAAGAATAAACACAAACATAATTTAGACAAAATCCGAATTTACGCCGATCAAACTCAATGTCAACAACAACATATGAAAAATCTACAAGATGTACTGGTATCCCGACAAAAGAATGGAGAAAAAGACCTTATTATAAAATACATAAATGATGTTCCAAAAATTGTAAAGCATAACCCAAAAAACAGTACGCGCAAGGGACCAAAACAGTCAAAATAAATAGTCAATATAACGAAGATCTTAATATTAGCTATCAGAAACTGAATTGCTACGAGGACATCCATGAAACTAAATCATCATTAAAATTTTTATATACAAATATAAGAAGTCTTGTAAAAATTAATAAATTAGATGAAATAAAATGCATACTACACTCAATAAAAAGCATTATACATATAATACTGATTACCGAAACATGGATAAAATCTGATTTAGATGCAGCATTACTTGAGATTCCGAATTATAAGCACATATATAGTTATAGAAAGGGTCGAATTGGGGGTGGAGTATCTATATATATTCATAGTTGTCTCAAGCATGAAAATGTTGAAGTTATTAATAGAGAAGAAAACGAATACATTTGGGTATATATAGAAAAATATGCAATTAATATTGGAGCTATATACAAACCACCTAATACAAAAACAAAAGATTTTCTAGAAAGCTACAGTCAACAGCTAGAAGAAAAACGTAGAAGCTTAATATTTGGAGATTTTAATATTAACCTGCTATGTGATGACCATAATACAAATAACTATAAGAACATGATAAATGAAGCTGGATATACAATACTTAACAAAATCAATGAAGACTTTTGTACAAGAGAAACACACACAACAAAATCTATTATAGACCACGTCCTGACTAATATGGAAGGTGTGAATTTCCACATGGCTCTCCTTGATACCCCCTTGTCTGACCATAAGCAGATTTACCTAGATATCAAACAGATTAAAGTTGATAAGAAAAGAGAGACACATGAATACTTGGCTACGGATTATGCTGCTTTATATAAATCAATGGAAGTAACTGTGATCCATAATAAAGACTACGATTATGAAATATTAGAAAATCTAATTAAGACTAAAATTCAAAAAAACAAATGCACGAAAACAAAAATTTTAAATAAACCCAGAGAAGATTGGATAAACAAAGAGGTGTTGAATAGTTTGCGTGATCGAAATATTGCTTGGAACCAATATAGAGCTGATATTAAAAATACCGAAAGAGAAACAACATTCAAAACCAAAAGGTACGAAGCTTTCAAAACTACACGAAATGCTAAAATTAACTTCTATTCCAAAGCCTTTGAAAAATGTAAAAAGCGGCCAAGAAAAATGTGGGGTTTAATTAACAGTCTCGTCAATAACAAGAATAAGATGAATATCATACCTCCTAATCTTGTTCGCGATTCCAATATAGTAGTAAATGATCCCTATGAGATTTGTCAACTTTTTAATGATTTCTTTTCCACTGTTGGTTCGGATTTAGCAAGTAAAATACCCCAATCATATCATCAAAAACTTACTTCCAGTCTTTCACATTCGCAAAATAACACTATTCAGTCATTTGCACCCACCACAAAAAAAGAGGTTAGTGAAATAATTGACAAATTTAAAGTAAACACAAGTAAAGGCATTGATGATATAGGTGTAAAAGATATCAAGTGTATAAAGTACTTTATTCTAGATAATCTTACTGACTGTTTTAATAAATGTTTTACACAAGGAAAATTCCCCGAAAGTTTAAAGATTGCTAAAGTTACGCCAGTTTATAAATCCGGAAGTAAAACAGATCCGGGAATTATCGACCGATATCTGTTTTACCAGTTTTGTCAAAAATTTTAGAAAAATTAATATATGTTCGTCTTTATAATTACCTCAATAAACAAAACTTCTTTTTTAGTCAACAATATGGCTTTCGTCCGAAATCTAATACACTCTCAGCAGCTGTGGATATTGTCACCAAAATTAAAAACGCGTTGGATAGTAAGCAAATCGTTCTGGGTATCTTTATCGATTTAAAAAAGGCTTTCGACACGGTCAGCCATAATTTATTATTACAAAAACTACAGAAGGAAGGTATAACAGGTTCGGCAATCAAAATTTTAGAGTCATATTTACATCGCCGTAAGCAAATAGTTACAAACGGAAAATTTCAAAGTAAGCCCGCAACGATAACATATGGAATTCCACAAGGCTCTATCCTGGGTCCGCTATTATTTTTAATTTATATAAATAGCATTAGTACAATTGATTTGTCTGGAGATATAACTCTTTACGCGGATGACACAAGCTTATTTTACTTTGGTGATAACATTAAAAATATAATTGACGCAGCTCAACGTGATTTAAATATTATTAGCGAGTGGTTTCTTTCTAATTTATTAACTATTAATACCAAAAAAACATCATATATGATCTTCGCGCCTAAAAATAAAAATATACCAAATCATTACCAACTAAAAATTTTTAACGAACATATAAATAAAACTGATCATGAAAAATATTTAGGTCTTATAATGGACAGCAAATTAACCTGGCAATATCACATTGATCATCTTAAAAATAAAATATCCCCTTTGATAGGAGCATTACGTAAAATTTCCTTATGTATACCTACTAAAATTCGTCCTATTATTTATAATTCGTTAGTAAAACCTCATATCGAATATCTTATTGAAATATGGGGAACTGCTGCGAAGTCTAACATAAAGACATTACAAACTTTACAAAATAAAATTATTAAAGTTCTTTATAAATATGATTATATGACGCCATCCGTTGAATTATACAGAAAAACAAAATTTCTTAATATAAATCAATTATATACTTTAAAAACATGCATGTTGATTAGAAAAATAATAACAAATAAAACACATTCACAATTACACTTTCATAAAAAAAAAACACATACATACCACACTAGAAAACGTAATAAACTAGAACTCCCAAAAACCAGAACCAACTATGGAAAGAAAAACATCTTATTTGAAGGAGTTCAAATTTATAACAAATTATCAGACTCAATTATTCATAGCAAGAGTTTTCCTATATTCAAAAAACGTGTAATGGAATATGTGCAAAATAATTTATAAGTTAATGTAAACCCTACCTAAACATGTTTGTGTAATATAATTACCCGCCACATTTTATTTCACTGTATATAATTCTTAAGGCAGACTTTTAAATGTACCCTCATGCAAATTATTGTAATTTCTTATTATAAGTGAACTTTTGTGTTCTTTATAAGGAATAAATGTCTTTAAACCGAATATCCTTATTAATTACTAAGAATTATACTTCTATATATACTTATGCATGTACATTTAATGACTTATATGATAAGTTCATAAATTTATTTTATATTGTAATTTATTAACAGTATTATCTTACGAGTATTCGCTCGTGATGTTCTAGGCGAGGGCTGGCCATGTCTCGGTCCTGGTATAAGTACTAACTGCACTCTTTCCCCTGAAGCCTTTAAAGCGCTCACAGCATCTTCATGAGTCACATTGTCCAAATTTACATCGCCTTTCTGTAATAAATATATAAGCTCTGTTTATATTTTGTATGTGGCAATACTGAACTAATGAGGTTTAAATATTCTCTGGATATATAATGCTCATTATATTATATTTTCCTAACAATAACTGTTTATGCAAATCATGCATATATTGAAGCCAAGGCTCAATCTATAGTGCCTTATATATGGTATTCAAATATATGCGTTGACATAGTTTGAGGTCTTATATGAACTTTGGTTTATGGATTTTTTATAAATAAATTCATGTTATAGTAAAGATTACTTACTGAAGTGTTCTTGACCATAAGTAATTTGTCTCCAACCCTCAAACGCCCATCTCTATGGGCGGCTCCGCCAGCCATTATCTTGGTCACATATATTCCATTATCACCGGGTATGTGTTGGTTCCCCAGACCGCCTGCTATGCTGAACCCTAATCCTGAACCACCCTTAACTAGTTCAATCTCCACTGCCTCTTCTCTATTCGATGAAGTGGACACGTTCAGAGTATCTTCAACTTGTCGACGTCTTATTTTCTAAAAGAGATTTCATATAACAGTCTTACTTATTACAAAGAGGTTTTATTATATAGCTGCAACCAATAAATCATAAAACTAATTTAATATACATACGCACTAATTAATATACATACGCACCAATTTAACACTACTGCCGGCCTTTTTCAACGCATCAACCGCCTCGGCGTGCGTCACGTTCTCAACTGATGTATCGTTAACCTGAGTAATGACAAACACATTAACAGACCGTCCGAGACATGACATAACATATATTTGTATTAAAAACCTGTAATATGGCGTCGTTGATTTGAAGTTGACTGGCGGCGGCCGCCCCGCCTGGTATGAGCTTGGTTACGTAGATGAGTGGGTCATCCGCTATATGGGGGTTATCGGAACCCCCAGCAATACTGAACCCCAAGCCAGCTCCACCCGCGCGTGATAATACTACAGTAAGGTATAAATGACCATCGTCGCCCACCGTACGCTCAGCACCACCCTCTATCCCATTTATCTGCAACTTTTATTTCATCCTATTTATAAGTATTCACTAACACTTATTTAATTAATCAACATTTTTCATATACATATCATTATTATGAATAAAGAGTAAGTTTAATGCATCATCTGTCAATTAATCTTTAAGAAATACAAGAATTTTTTGGGTATTAATATAGAATATCATTATTACAAATAATTTCAATGTCAGCTTTTGTTATTTTAAGTATTTAGAGGTTGTGTAGAATGATATATTGTAAGATTGAAAAAACCAAGTCCCGATTATTGTATGATTACAAGATATGTAAAAATATTCAGAATATTAGCTATTTCAACTGTATTGAATGATAATATTTTCCATTATGTATTGATACAATGTTAGATCAAGAGATATCATATCTATTATGTAACTGACAATTGTTGTAGAGATAAAAGACATTTTATAAAGACGATGTTTCATACTGAATATTTCATAAATTCATTAAGAGTATATTATCTATTAATAGGAATGTTTCATCACTACTTCTTTATCTATAAGTAAACCCACTTCTTTATCTGATTAAAAATATAAATTGACCCATTAATTTAATATTTCTAAATGTGATTCTGATGGTAATACAAATTATTATACATAGATATCTTGTGTTATACAATTCTTGTTCAAATATATAATATAATTGAATGTAATAATGTATCATATAAGATTGTACTTATGTTTATACCAATTTTATTAAGATATTCTTATAAATAAAGAAATATATTACATCACTATATGGATATATGAGTACATTTATTGTTTATATTAAGTTAGATTAAAAAATAGCCCACTACGAAATTCTTTTTTACAGTAATGGTCAAAGTCAAAAGGTGCACAATATGTAAGGTCTTAAAAATATAATTACCTGTTTCATTTCAGGTGTGGAAATGTGTGCCTGGAATGTAGAAATCGTCCACTTTAGATAGTGTGATTTAAGATTGTTATTATTACAAATTTAATATATCATTATAATTTCTAGCGACATATTTGTATTTATGTTATTAACGACAACATTTGGTATTTAATGTAATACAAAAAGTAAGTTCTTTTATTATAAAAGAGTTGCGGTAAACTATCTACAGGTTTGAAAATATTGTAATGATACTTATACAGATATTTGCTAATTAAATTAATTAGAACTATTTATTAACACATTTGGCTGCTGCTTATAACATCATTAAAACATACACTGACTGGTACATTTATTAATGTCGACTTGTTTTTTGTAGATATTGTGACTATGACATAAAAAAAAACTAAAATATAGCTGAAAATCCTTTTGATTTGTTTAATATTGATTAAATCTAGAGCCTACTCACCGTGTCAAGGTTAAATAGAGAGGAGACCTTCCGTAGGAATCCATTATAGGCTTTTTTCTTCCTTCTCTCAGTCATTGTGACCAGTGTGCATAACCCTCTGATATTTTATAATCAGTTTACACTATGTACACTGCATGCATGTTAGTTACACACTTGAGCCTGTTCTCAGCAACTTAGTGGCTGCTCTGCGACATGCACCATTTTCTACCTAGAACCCATTTCTAGCTTGCACCAAAACATTTTAAACTGTGCATTACTCGAAGGAATGCGACCTTTTTTTATGTTTACTTGTAATCCCACAGTAAAAGCTTATTATCATGTTAGCTTACTTATAAATTACACCAGTCCTTATCTAAAGAATTATTTCGAGCCGAGCCCTTTTTGATAAGTGATTTTATTAGAATATAAGTATGAGTATGTAGTTAATTAGATGTTACCAATTTGTGTTCAATGATAGAATGGTATGAATGTCAAAGCGATGAACTTTAATTAGAATGTCCGTGTTACGTTATTTAACGTGCAATACAGACACTTGGTAATATTTTAAATATAGGTAAATTGTTCAGCTAGTAACACAGCGACTTGTCACAAGCAAAACTATCTCAGAAGTTTCATTAGTCTCACCAAAGATTTGAAAACGATCCCAAATTGTAAAATTACTAAACGTTTAAAAATAGATTAGTGTAAATTATATGGCCTTACTTGCGACGAATACGAAAAACCAGCAGTGTGAATGTCAAAATTGTATGTGCAATATCATTTCACTTGATAATCATTTACAAATAGTATTCTCTGCCTTTAGACGATGAATCGTTTATAAGTCATTCGCACAATTAAAACATTGAACAGCACAAATTCACACAACGATGAAACGTTAGCGAACATATCGATGAAAACTGGTACTATATTTTAGGTTATAAATAGTACTATGAGACGCGAAACACCAACCATCCGCCATTACCGACCACTTGTTGTAAAGCGTTCGAACACCTTTAACCTACCTTCAGAGACGGCACGTCATCAAAAAGAATAAAAAAAAACAAAACGGAATCACTACGTATCGGTAAACAGCTTATCTTTCACAGGTTTCCAAGAGGTGGCGCTTATAACCAAAAATTTATTTAAGAAATTTTATCTTAATTCTTATAGTTTTGTCTTATTCTCAACAATATTTGTACTATAAAGTTGGTATATATTTGTTAAATTATTTATTCAATATAATTAACATTTTTAGTTTATAAATTTTAGTGAACATAATAAGTGTGCACAGTGTCGCCCTCTTACTGAAATGTAAATAACAAGTTCAACGTTCATCAAATGTTTAAGCAGCAGCCAATTCCAAAATCGTTACTAACTAAATAAATAACAAATACTACGTACTAATAATGAATGTTTACCTTTTTTTCCTCAGTGTCTCCGGTTGGTGATATAATTGAAGGAATTGTTCCCATCTGAAAAAAATAATATTATGTAGGTACAGAATAAAAGTAGCAACTGCAGATTTTATTCATATTCTTATTTAAATGAAGATCAAGAGAGTATATTCATTCCAGTACTAGTAAATGTTAATGTTATTATTTATAAATGAAAATGCACAATAATAAGTTTTTATGTATTTTGATTACCCTTGCCGAATCTGGTGTTTCCGCATTTCGGTTCTCGGATTTCTTGTTGGTGTCTTGAAGGAACGCATTCGATACTGATCTAAAGTCATTGTCTCCCGTCTGTGACTGAAAATGTATTATTTTGTTGATCTTTTCATTTTCTTTTGTTTTATTCAGAACAAGTTACGTATTCGGTTTGAGAGCGATGCTTAAAATGCTCACTGTTGACCTATTTTCAATTATTGTAATCAACCAAGCGTTTTAAGCAAACCAATTTATTCGAATTCTGTTAATTGAGGCTTCACAGTTGATTTATAAAATTAAGTATTGTAGAATATGCAAGTTTTTTGTTGTTTAAATTTTCGTTATACTTATATTACATAGTTTTATATAAGTTTCTTACTTCCCGTCGCACTCCGTCAGCTTCCCACTTGTTCGCGATTCGGATCGTCTCAGCTGTTTTCTGCTGAATGGACTTGTTGTCGTCGAGGAGTGTTAGCTCGTAGAATTCTTGAATATCTGTTGGAAAATCATGAAGTGGGTACAACACTTTAACCTTTTTGAAATTTAGACCGCTTTCTTTGATAGCATTTAAGAACTTTTATCCTATATAAGGATTAAGATTTAGTGATTTAATATTAATATATGTAGGCGATGAAAAACATAACAAAGCAGACGACATTAATCTTAACCCTAAATATGTATTATTGAATTAGTTATAAATACTGTTATATATGTTTTTATATGTATTATATATATTGTTTTTGTTCCATGACCTGGTTGTAACTAATGTTATTACAATGCTACATTATTTAAATGCGTCTTCAGGTATCGCATGTCCCAGACTTGTAAGTAAAATCGATAATAAGACAGTTCGCGAAGGTGTTTTATAAGTGGATATTAAATTACATTTCAAAATGAGAATTGGCTTGAAAAACATTTGAAAAACTGTAGGTATATCTTGTCATACAAAAGAATTAAAACAAATTATATAAAAAGTACTATATAATTTTATTGGTAGGTATATAAAAAAAACAATAATCTTTGGCTGCAACTTCTCTGGCAATGAGTGGATGTATCGATTAATATTAATTATCAGGTTATATTTGTAATGAAAAGAATGTTGCAAATGTCACAACTTTATCAAGTTATTTTAACTCAACTGACAGTGGAATTAAATGATTAAGTAGGTAGGGTTTTTATATGGAAAGCTTATAAGAATCTATTTTCAATGATCCGTGGCTTCAATAAACGAAAAAGAATACTATTAGTAAGGGTTACCTATTTATGGGTTGTAAAACAGTACTGACTACTTGTCCCACAAATGTCCCTACTAAAATACACCTTCGGTCCTAGGTCGATAAAATAAATATTTTTTTCTTACTATAATAATAGCAAATTTTAGGTACAATACGAGTGAATTTCGACCATCATAGTCAAAATCTTAATTAAATCGTCTTTTTTATACTTTTATATAAATTTTTAAAGTCTTTTTTTATGTATGTCAACACTGCACTTTGACAGTGGAAATAGAAATGTTGTGGTAATGGTTACATTACGAGTATGTAAAGTAATATTGTTTCATAAATCTTATATAAAATTATTTTACTCGTTTCCGAGTTTAAAATTATACCATTAGATAAGTGACCCTTAGTTTTAATTTTTAACAATAGAAAACATTCAATTTGTGTTGTGAACAATCCACATTCGAAATAAACGCAATGTAATCGACAATTTTGATAAACATAAGTATATTTTAGAAGACTAGTAAAGTAATTAATATACTTTAAAAGATTAATTTTATAAGTTATATGTAGTTTAATCAATCTTATACTATGATAACACCTACCTTTACCTATACGTTCATAGCCATCAGAGCATACAATAATCAATACTGATAGACCCAAACATATGAACTACGGTATAATACAGGCTTTGTATCATTATTCAAAGTCACATTATCGATATATTAAAAACTATATGAGATATTTTTACTTTTAGGACATAGATTATAAAAGAATCATAGGTTTAATTTAAAAAAAATCGAAATGTTCATAACATTCTATTCACGAGTCTCATTCTCTCGTATAATCTTCTAAATTGGGTATTTTAAAAATTTAAAAATATATAAATAAAAATCTTCCTTTAATTTATAATAAATAAAGAATATCCGAGCGTACTTTGAAACCACAAACTTCAGACTAAGCGACGTTTGGATCGATAATTTTATTTCGGGGCTGCAATCGATCTATTTTTATTAAAAATTTAAACTTTACGATCAAAGAAAAACACTCCGGGCACCTGTAGGCGCTGTATTTCTATAATTTTATTACACGACACTTAAATATTATGTTAATAAAGTGGGTCAGAAGTAATAATAATAGCTTTTCATGTTTTAATCAAGATAAGAAAAACGTTTTTCTTAACCACCATTTATATGTAAAAAGCATTTATTTAGCACAATAGAAACGTTTTGTATTTTACTATAGAACCTCTTTTGATATTTCATTGTGATACATATTTATAATCTATTATTACAAACCACAAATATATTTAGTACATTATAAGTATATAATATTTTATAAGATGGTCTTTGTTGATTTATTTATATCAAGATCAGGTTACGTAATATGTATAATAACATATCATATTTCAAAGTTTTAATATTTTGTAATTGAATAAAAAAAATCTTATATTCTTGTCTATTGCTTTGTTAAAAAAAAATAATCTTGTTATCTGATCATCGAAATTTTTTGCCTTAAAAAAGCGCGTTATCGGTTCTCTCTGCTATTTTATTCCACAAGGATGAAATACACGTAAATAAACTAAAGTTTATATTTGTAAAGAAAGATTGTACTTTAAACTATGTATTAAAGGTAAATTAAATGTGTCATATTCATTTCCATAAAAATGTACATGAAATTCCATTATGATATTATTTTATATTTAAATAGGACAGAAAATAGTTGTAGGTGTTCACAGTTAGAATTTTTCGGTCGTTCTAGAATTTTCCACAAGCAGTCTCTTGTGAAAACAACTATTTTAACAATCAAAAGCGGAGCTGTTATTTGCATGAATAAACATTTCTTCCACTTGAATTAATAAAAGGTAGCTATATTGAAAATAAGCATTCATTTATAATAGGAAAGTACCCAAACATAATATTTTAGCCCTTGTTTATTCTGTTCACATAATAGAAAATATTATAACGCAACTTTGTCTAAAAACCATTTGTGTAATACCCACATTGCATGAATAAGTTTTTTTGATTGTACGCTTACAATTTTTCATTACACTTGATACAAACTGTTCCCGTTTCTCACTCAATAATGTACGTTAATTTTATAATTTGAGAAGATTTATGAATGAAAAACTGTTAACTCCGTATGTAATCTGACAATGCAAGCTTTGGGTCAGCTGATACGAGTGACATAAACATATGTGTAATTAATGAAAGTACATATGTTGTATGAAATAAAAAAGAAGTAAAACAATTGTACTCCAACATATATAGAACGAAATGCAATGGAGTTGGAATTTTTAATACCAAACCAATAGAAGGTAAAAGTTTTGTTACGTATTGGATGTTTGAACAGCGTAGTTCCTATGCGAATAACAACGGAAGTTATTTTAAACTACTCTTTACTGTAGTTTTTATTTTCAATTAAAATTGTTACGGATTTCACAAATAACGTTATCAGTTTGTGGCTAGTTACGACCTATATTTGTGTTGAATGAAGTAAAATGATCAGATGTGACCTACTTGCGAACTGTTTACGTTTTCTGGTCTATTGTTGTTAGTTTTGAGTTTAGACGTTTGAGGACGGATGAAAGTTATTTAATACAATAATTTCAGACAGTATCATATCGTAATACATCTGTTATATAATGAGATCTATATTTTCATCTTGTCGGCCCGTAATCGTCGTTACTGCAAAGTAACTTAAACGTCTGGAGTATGTAGTTTAAAATAGTAAAAAAAACGAGTAGTACATCCGAAAATATTATAGCTTCATTTAATTGTCTATAATATGACAACGTCAATGTTTCAATGGTTCTAACATTATATAGTTGTTTATATGACTACGTTTTTAAGAATAGTTTTAATAAAACAATGAAAAATCCGACTTATAAGTTCCTAGTTGTCAATCAAATTAAAGTTTTCCCAAAGAACGTCGACTAGCCTAGTGTTGATCACCCCGCATTGATCCGCTGCCAGCATAACAGAGCAAAACAAAGGCTTTAAAAATAGTAAAAAATATTTAGTCTGGCACTATCCGAGTTGAGGTAAACCTTCGTTGATCACGATTAAAAATATTTTCCTGAAGGATTAAATATGAATTTTCACTTTTTTCCGTAATGATATTTATTATAAAAATCCAAATATTAATTACGTATGACAATAAAAATAACTTTAGTCGTAATAAATTTATACTATTGTTATGTTAAATACTATTGTTATATTGTTTAATAATTATGCACTTTTATGAAAAGAGAGTTTTTTTCAAGCCTCGCCTCTAATATTACAATTATATGTATTCCGACAAATAATTGTTTCGAAAATGTACCTTTGTATGATAAGTAAGTAAGTTAAGTTAAATACGTTATTTTGGGATTATGTTTATTTACATTTCATTGAGTTTTTTCTGTTCGCAAGGAATTTAGGTGATAAACCATTAAAATTTTAAAAAAGAAGAAAACAAAATACCTCCTATTACTACTGCACTTATATAAAATAACTAAAAGGATATTGCTTACAACAAGGTTGCATCGCCACACTTCATAGTAAGGGTTTCTCGTTTTGCATTCCAAGAGCTACTTTAGAGACGAAAATTCTATCGATTCACCGTGCTATTGCCGAGTCTATCGCGTTGCAGGGAGAGGAGCTCCAAGTGCCTGGGACTTTTGCCCCAGGTGAAGGTTTAAAGGGCCCTAATGTGCGTTAAATGCTTACTTCTATGGTGCAAGCAATAGTTAACGAAGATTTAGAATAGAAAAAGTGGAAACGCTTCTTAAGTAGTGTACCTAACATTGCAAACTTGTCATAAGCATATTTTGGATGTCTTAATTCCTTGACATTACGTATTTATGCCTTCAAAGGTATATTTTTAACTTTTCTATGCTTTCTGTTCGATTGTGCAGTCGGATTGAGAACTTCTAAGTTGCATATATATTTTTAACCTAGCATCAAACGATATTATTTGCTATTATTAGACGAAAAATCCTTTTGCATACACGTATATCTCATAGATTTTAACAACAATGTTTTTATTCCAATATTATTTTGCTCAAAATAAACAAATGTCTGTAACATGTATCTATCAATATTAGATACTAAGGCCTCAAAAACAAATCTACCGTTGTTCTGTATTTCGCAATGGTTAAACAATTTTTATTTAAAAGTAAACATGTAAATACTCAAACAGATGGAATACCTACAGATATAAATATTACAGTTTTTTATTTTACTGCTGGAAACACCCCTGTTATACAAGAAATTATTGTTTTAACTATGTTTGTGACCTAGTTTTCGTCTAATTTAAATAAACCCATTTAAATTTTCCCCCTGCATTTACTATACAGTTTACAATACTTGTATGAATACGAAATACTTTTATATAATGCCGTCGTATAGAAAATTAACAAATTTATTTTCATAGTTATATAGTTTTATACCAAATAGTTTTTAATCTTAATAAATATTACAAAACAAACATACAAAAAAAAAAACTGAGATACTAACAAAATTTATATATTATGTTAACCAATATGTTTCTTGTTTTATTTCAGTTATTAGTCTCGTTTAGTATAATGAATTCGAGAGAAGGACCGCAGCTTGCGAACACGTTTGTCGTGTGTCCAAGACTGAACAAAGTACACGGTAAAAATTAATTTAGCTCAACCCGCTACATAGTGTCAGACTAACTGAGAAATATTCTTATTACGTAATTGAATGCCATACCTATATGCAATAACTAAATAACTAACTTCCCATGGTCTATTATCTATCAAAATGGAAAGTTTAATTCTGGGCTTAAGTCTGAACTTTTTATTTAAGTATTTTGACACTATGAAGACGGATTCAAGAAAATTATTGAACCAGTCTTTTCAGTCTTTGACTAGGTATTTCTATTACTCATAGCACAGTTTAAATTTTTCAAACCGTTAACTTAAATTATTTCGACACTAGTTAAAAAATTAATAATTTCTAAACGAGGTTGATTATTTGATTTAATCGCAGTTGAATAATCTTGATATGTTTGTCATAAATTAACTGTAACTTTTTAAGTTGAAAATAATAATTATTTACATTTTCCAAGGATATGCCGAAATATATGTAACAAGTATAAAATAACTACTTCTGTGTTTAAATAAAATTTCTAAAAAATCAACAAGAGGCAATTATTCCGAGAACAGTGGCCCAAGATTCCATACTACTCTCAGTAGCTTATCTAAAATCTTCAATATTAAATCGTACTAAGGTTTTAGGATAGTACTTAGGATTAGGATAATACTAAACGTTTTGCAGCAACTGTGATCACAGAACTGTATAGAAAATGCCTTAAAAGTAACCGAAACGACGACATTACGCAGTTACTAGTCGTAAAATAATAAACCTTAGCTTCATTTAAATGAATACAAGCGAATTTCTTTTATATCGCTATGTGAATCTTGAATATTAATCTGACTTTAGTTACCGAACATTGAAATTCGGTCCAGTAGCCGATCGCGGAGCTAAATTTAATCCAACACAATGGCAGTGTCGCGGTCAGACAAGATTCAGGTCTCTGACGCGATGCAGTCACGCGCCTGTTGTATTTATAGCGGCATAGTAACACGGTTATAGTATTTAAATCATATATTAATAATAAACTGCATTATATTATGGAAAATATAGAATTTATATTGTCTATGGATTCGATTTTAGGTAGAAGAGAAGAAAAATTGTCTCTGGCTATGAATTGCATCGTTCTGTTTTCACTTAGAGCTGTAAATAAAGATTTCATTGGGCACAGCGATAAAATTACCGATTACCTGATTGAAATATTTATATATTAGTTCAACTCCAATACGTAAATGGGGGGACGGGGAGGCATACTGGTAGGTCAAAAAGTGGTACTACAAAATATTGATGCATTTCTTTCCTAAGAACTGTTATAATACTGAAAAATATTCCTTAAGGAATTTTGCTGTTTACATGCAAAAAATAAATTCATATAAAAATAAAGATAAAAAATTTTACGATATCAGAAAATTCTCGTACGCCGTATAAAAAAGTCTGTATTTTAATTCCAAAAAACTTTGTATTTAATTAAATATCCAATGTTATTTGTTTACGATTTACCTTTACGACTACAGGGTTGCTGTAAAGACTTATATTATTACGAAAAAAAATAAGGTAGGTACCTATACTATGAACAAAAAACACAATATGTAATTCTACGAGTATGTACTTACCAAGAAGGGCTTGAAAGAGCCTCGATTTGAATATCCTTATAACCCTCTCAATAGCTAGTCTCAGCTGTCTGTCTTGCGGCTTCACTAGCTTGCTGTGATAATCTTCAAGCAGTTCAAGCGCTCGATGGGCCTCTGAAAGACGACTTATTGGTACATTATTGGGTCTAGAAGTACCTAAATTTTGCCATAAATTACGCTATTAGGATATGTCTTTTAAAGCTATGTGTAGTATATTGGAGAATATGTTATATTTGGGTATGATTATAGGAAAGAAATTCCTTATATATTAAACCAATTAAAAATCCTATGTAAGTATGAATTAAGCAACGATTAAACATGAACCGTATTACCTAAATGTAAGCCAGATTAGTTCAGTTAGGCAAGGGTCGTTGAACTGAATGATTATTAGTTTTCACACGCGAGGGCTGATTCTTAATTAAAATAATAGTTTCCTCTGTATTTATTTAATCATAGAAGAAAATTTGCTTTAAATCATATTATGTAATAGTTATTTTATTTATATATTGTATAATTTTGATTGTAGATCCAAAGATATTAACATGCGAAACCTAATTTTAATTGTATTTAAATATTTTTAGTTTTAAAATAGAGAGAGAAAAACAAAAAATAAAGAGTAATAGGTCGTAAAATAATACATTTCTTACGTATTATTATACAGGTAAAATTATAGAATAATTCATTTTATCGTCCATTTCTATAATGGAATGTGATGAATGTAATTTTTGATATAATTAATGGTAAATGAAGAATTTATTACTGAATCAATTAACTTTTTGTCTTCACAGATTGCTAAGCTAATTATTCAATAATACATAAAAATATTTAAGTATAAAGGTTATTATACTTTGGAATACATTCTCGAATGTATATATTGATATGTCCTTAAGTAGGCGGATACTGTTTTATTTATAGAATTGTTACCTTTGCCATAAATAAATAATTTAATAAAATAATCATGTCATATTAAACTTAATATGCAGGTCATTCTGGCAACACCGTTCATATTATTAAACAGAGGGTGTCTTTTAGACCCTCGCGCTGCGACCCCTTGCATAATCTCTCCTCGATAACTACGCAATAGTATATACTAAGCCACAATTTTACAATTTACTACTAAAAAATAATCACCTTGCTTTCGCACTGGCATCACGGTACCGCCCCCTAACGTAATTTTGATACACTAATAAAAATTTCAAAGAAATCAAACTATAAACTCTTTCACGGTATTAAAGAAGTGGAAAACTTCATTTCATAATTTTGATCACATTATAGTACATAATCACACTCCCCATATGGCAGCACAACATAAACATAAAAATTATAAAGTAATACAATAAATTATGCGATAGTGATTCCGCTCATGAGAATCGTCTACAACTGTGCTTATTGGGATTGGTCGATTTTCTCTGTGACGTCAGAGGGTGAATTCATAGACAACGTGGATTTGAGTTTTGGGGATGAAAGGTGAAAATTTAAGGGTAGTTGTACATAATCTTGTGAATACTTGTTGTTTATGGAAATTTGAACATTTCTACAATACAACCATTTATAACAAAAATATGTTGTAATTGAAAGAAGATTGATTTTTTTCTTAATCATTAAAATTATATTACAAGTCCAATAATCTTACTAAAGATGAGAAAACTACTAAGTCCAGATAAAATTTATATAATAATTGGTAGTGAAGAAAAGTTATACCAGAGTATTTTTCAGGACAGTCATAAAAAGAATATGTTCATGATCTTTAACTCCTCTTATATTGCTAAAGATTTTATCAAAACTACTTTATTTCTATAAAATACGTTGGAATTAAAATGTTGGGTACAATCGAAATTTAGAGTTTCTATATTATACAAATTGACGAATAATTTTTATAAGTTTTTATAATAAACATTTTGGCTCAAACACAAACATTAATAATAATCAGTATTAATCAACATTTAGTTTTGGGTCACATAAAAACATTATACCTATGTATAAAGTTTTTTTAATAACTAATGGACTATGAATGAAAAAGTACTCGCAGTCATCTACAAAAGCTGTTAAAACAGCAACAAGTGCTATATTTCTTACGTGTTTTTTTGTTTTTGTATTAGTTTTTTTTGTTAAAGTGCTTTTGAGTCAACAAGTACAATATAAATGAAATATTTAAAATGCATAATATCAAGTGTTTGCTGTAACCAAACACTATGAGTTTGACATATTGATTTAAAACTTTGGGCCAAATTGGACCAAAACTGTAAACTTTGTAGGAAACATATAGGAAAAACTGTAATATACAATATTAATTTTGAGGTCAACGTAAAGTAAATTTTTTAAATCTATTTATTTAATCTGTTTGAACCATAAAAAGTAGGATCGGTGACTATTTTTATTCTATATATTTCAGTGTTCTCAGCCTAGCTTCCGTCGATAGTCTGAACGATGGTTTATAGACGTATTTGTGTGAGTTGAATAAGTTGTACCGACTGGGAGTTAAATACGTTTCAATGTATAGCGTATCGATATAGATTATAGTTAATAGATACGTAGTCGTAGATATTTTTTAGAGTAGGGCAAATTGAATCTCTAGTGAATAAGTAAAGGCCTACAAGATGCCTCTTTTTGGTAAAAAAGATTTCGGAAGGAAATCTAAAAAAGATGGCAAGGAGTCCGAAAAACAACCGTCCATTGAGGACAAGTACGTTGTTAAGGATCTCTTGGGGACAGGAGCTTTTTCAGAAGTACGTCTGATCGAGAGCAAGGAAAACGGACAATTATTTGCTTGCAAAATTATTGATAAGAAAGCTCTGAAAGGGAAAGAAGACTCATTGGAAAATGAAATTAGAGTACTTAAAAAATTTAGTGAAAACGAAAAAAGCGAAGGAGGCGATAAAAAGATGTTTTCACATCCCAATATCGTCCAGCTGCTAGAAACATATGAAGATAAAAACAAGGTTTATCTCGTTATGGAGCTTGTGACGGGTGGCGAGTTATTTGATCGTATTGTTGAAAAAGGGTCGTATACCGAGAAAGATGCATCTAATCTTATTAGACAGGTGTTGGAAGCCGTAGATTATATGCATTCGCAAGGTGTGGTACACAGAGATTTAAAACCTGAAAATCTGCTTTATTATAGTGCAGAGGAGGACAGTAAAATCATGATAAGCGATTTCGGTCTGTCCAAAATAGAGGACTCGGGAATTATGGCCACAGCATGTGGCACTCCTGGCTATGTTGCTCCTGAAGTGCTTGCACAGAAACCATACGGTAAGGCTGTCGATGTGTGGAGCATAGGAGTGATTTCATATATATTACTTTGTGGTTACCCTCCCTTTTATGATGAAAATGATGCAAATCTCTTTGCTCAGATTCTGAAAGGTGACTTTGAATTTGACTCTCCTTATTGGGATGACATCAGTGAATCTGCTAAAGATTTTATCCGTCACTTGATGTGTGTGGATGTTGAGAAGAGATATACATGCAAGTAAGTTAAATTTTTCAATTTATATTTCCTTTAACTGTTCTTTACACTTTAGACATTGAATTTATAAACCTAATTATTAAAAATTTCTCATTAAAGTATTTCATTTATTTTACAGGCAAGCTCTGGGTCATCCATGGATTTCAGGCAATGCCGCTAGCAATAAGAACATTCATGGCACCGTTTCTGAACAGCTCAAAAAGAATTTTGCAAAGTCCCGCTGGAAACAGGCCTATCATGCTACTACGGTCATCCGTCAAATGCAGAAAATGATACTGAGCAGCAGCGGCTCAAGTCGCAATGTCCAGCCGAAGCCCCAACAATAGCTTTGCTTAACAACAACCACTTAATATGTGATTAAGGTACTTAAAGATATATTCCCTTGTAAGTTGGTTCCCAACTAATTTAATGATAGCCATATATTGCAACTCTTCAATTTAAGCCTGTAATTGATATTCATTGATGGGGCAAATGCCGGCAAGCGATGTCTGGCATTTGTATTGCTAAATTTATATCATTGCATTAATAGTGGGTGTGTTTGTGATGGCTGAGTGTAATCACCCATTGTATAGTAATGGATAACAATCAACGAATTGTTAATATAATATTGGGCTAGTCAAGAAAATATATTTGAATATAAAATTATATTATACCTTCAAATACTATCAGTTTGAAATGTATAATGAAATTTTTGCTATCCGCTTTTATGCTCGCTATTCCTTGAATCTCACTCTTCAAGCCATGTCATTTATAATCTCTACATTTTACATGTCATTGTATATTAATGTGTATATTAAAATATATAAAAGAATCTTCATTTACACTGACTATTAGATATTAAGGACAAAACATTATCTTCTAAACATTCTATACTATACTTCTAGATATGGTGAACACTTAATGCTAGGGTTTGTTGCAAGTTGTTATGAATTAATTATAATAGGACAAGTATAGGCTTCAGTACATAATCATATATAAATTGTTACAAATGGTTGTCTGTGAAGTGTTTTAATACATATGTTATTATCATCAAAGGAATATTAATCAAAATTTTGCTTGTTAGAAAATTGCTAGGACTTTTGATTAGCCACTGTTTAAGATTTATATCAATATATTATGCAATTTGAATCGTTGCATATATGCATTTGAGTGCAGTAAAATAATTTCAATAATAAAATTTTGCTGTACTTTAGTGTGTGCATGAGAATTCCTTATATAATCGACATTCACATATTATAAAAGAATTTCCATACTCTATGTAAGTGTCTAAATCTGACTTATCTTGAATCTACACATGTTTTAATAATGCTAACTTGATTATTTTTTTATTATATACTACGAAATCGCCGTCATATCAATATTTTTAATCATAAATGCTACAAATTTTACAATCTAGAAAAATATTTTTTCTGGGCCTAATGTAACAAATCAGGTGTTTTAAAACATTCAGTCTCATATGTGAATTTAATAAGTGTTCTTATTAATAAAACAATAAGATTTTACATATACTGGATTATATATCAAAACAGATGGCTCACAAAATATGTTTTAGACACAGTTATGTTAGAAATAAAACAAAAATCTTGCGGTGTTTCATCTAAATGGTGAGGGCTACAAAATATATTTTATTCAAACCGTAGTATGTGAGTTACTATTGCTAGGTATTGTAAGGTACTTATCTTTCATATGCCTTATTAATATTTTAATGTAACTATAAATTATCTACTTGTAATGTTGCATTTTGTGTCCCATATCTTTTCTATACTGTTCTATGATGTGTATTTTTTTTATATTTCAAACATTCCTCTAGAGGATCTGAAACTTATTGGTAACATACATTCCATTTTTTCAGTATTTGCACTTTGCTATTGCGGTTAATAACTTAGTTTTGTATTGTCATAAAATAAAACTTTTTATGTATTCTTTGATGAGATTCAGAAATGATTTATCATTTCACAAAAATGATGCATTTTATTGAATATTAATATTGTAACTTAAATATTTCACTTAATTATGTTCTTCTTATTTTTTTTGTCTTCCGTCCACACCTTTCAAGATCATTTGAGCCTATAAAATATGTTGTAAATCACCCAACGAATAATCAGATTTTATTGCTGTATTTAATTTCCCCTTGAGAAATATCCCGAAAATTATAAACGTGTCTTGTGTTCATGAAGGCTGTGACGGAAGAACTGAATTTAATATTCGTCTATTTAATAGTAATGTGATTAGGTAAAATTAAGATTTGAACATAAAAAAGAAGATAATATATATTTTTAAGTTTTTGTCTAAAAATTTTAACTTCTTAATAACCTTGCGAATCATGACACTGCTTTATTTCTTTACTGCCTTTGCACATGAATGATTTTATTAAAAATTCCTTCGTGCTCTCAACGAAAATAGATCGCATCATGAGTTATTGTCGATAACCTTTGGTATTTAGGTATCTTGATGTATTCGTTTCCACACATGAATATTTCTTATTTTAGTGCTAAGTTACACTGCATTGTTTACTGGGTATAAAAATTAACTGAGTCTCTTAATTGATTAATTAATTAATAATAGGTTCATGATTTACTTATGACAAATATGTATCGAACTATCGACCGTCTTGTGTTCCTTAATGATTTTTGTAATAATATATTTTTTGACACACGATCTGGTCTGCTTCTAGTGATTTTATTGACATTAAAATATTTTTTTCTGTATCAAATATTATAATAACAATTTTTTTTATATACATTTTGTTACGTTTCTTTACTTTTTTGTAATAATGTATATTTTTAAAACATCCATGCTTTGTATTTTATGTAAATGTGTATAATTTATTTATAAAATAAGTGTTGAATGTATAATCATATTATATGTATGTTATATATTTATTTGTGCCATTATATATTCGTTGAAAGCCTTTTAACAATGCGTGATAAATAAATTTAGATAGCATAGGCATTACTTGTTCTTCTAAAAAAAAATGAAATGTTAAATTTAAATTGTTGTGTATTGGAAAATAAATAATTTAAGATCTATGTCGTAATAAGTATAAAAATACGCAAAATATTATGTACCTTATATTGTAACAATAAATATATTATTTTAAATATTGTACGTAAAGTTATATAACGAGTATGTATTTAGAAAGAGCGCACATTTCGTAAAATTTCGTAAATTGTATTTTTCTTTGGTCGTACGAATTTATTTTGTATACAATAAATATGACGTTGTGGCACATAATAAGTGTCTTTATACAGTCCTATATTTATATATATTATGGTCACCCTACGTTTGTAACGTCATGCTACATACAGAGTTAAAAGTTCTTCATTCATGTCTTAGTACATTATAGTATACGTAAGTTATTGAAAGTAACGAGATACGCTTCGTATGTACTGTGACGGTGCGAACGACGTGCAAACTTGTAATAAGCATATATTTATCAACGATTCAAATATATAGTTGAAATAACAGACCTTGCCATATTTAAATGCGGGTTACTATACGAATTATTTTGTTTAATCTGTAACGTTTATTTTTATAATACAACACTCGCTCTCTTGAAGATCATCCTATTGTTTCATTGCTGTGCCAAATCATATCATGATCAGTGATACATGTTATAATTTTTAATTAAGATATTTCATATATTTGTTAGATAATATACTGAGATTATTTGTATCTTAATCAGATGGGATTCTGCGGTTCTAGGACTTATGTATTGATGTTCCTGGACATAAAAAAAAACTTGGTATTTCTTTGATTTTTTTGTACATTAATAGTAAGAGCATACTTAATATTACCTAACATTTACTATTTTTCGAAGGGTTATTACTTAAATGTGTTCTTAAATTATGACACATTATTATTTTGTTAGCACAATAGTTTAAGGGCTGGGATAAAATTATATTTAAAATCGACAAGTGTTTATTTTAGATAACCTTATAACATGACAGTTTGAATTTTCAGCATAGTTTTATTTAGGTTGTGAGGTTCAGTTTTGAAATAAAAATGTATTCGAAATGACAATGCATTGTATTATGTTGATAATATTGACGCTACCTACTGACTTTGTAATCTTGTGATTTAGATTTTATACTTCTTGTTCTGAACAATCAAAATTTATAAGTAGATATTAGATGTTAGATCTATTTTCGATGTCATTGTAAATAAAATGCCAACTTGTTGAAAAAAAAAGTGTGTTTTATTTAGTACCATAACTGAAGTACATAAATTAAAATGACACCGAACGATTAGCTATAAATATATTTGATAATTTATATATATTATATATGGGAATGTTCATTGAAGTTCCTCTCCTAGTAAAGACAGTTGTTTGAGGAATTGAGACGCGTTTGGCAATGTCGTGGCACCGTAGATAATTTTTCTTGTCGTTCCACTTGCGGCTTGTTGCTGAAAATAAAAGATAACGTATTTAAAATTCAATTTGGGTTAATATGTTAGAATAATTAACTCTTCTTTATCTATGCATGCCATTGTCAATGTACATATATTAGATATCGAAATGACGCGTTAGAAAAAAAATAAGCACTTAACACAATAATTTTGTCATTGACACAATTTTTTTTACTAAAAGTGTATATTATACTTCGGCAACTCTGAGTTTACGTTTTTGATAAATAAGTTTGGATATTAAAACTTGATAATTATGTCACCTTAAAATATTTATTAATTTATGGCTAAAATAAAATTGTATGATTACATTTAACTATTCTCTTACTCTGTCCATTCGTTTATTTTGTATTTGAAATAATGAGAAAGTTAGAATTATATTAACGTTACTGACTCGATTTGAATTAATTATAAATTTTATTTAAAACAAAGTTTAAATGATTTACACATACATGTATACATATATATTTTTAGTATAAATATTAATTTAAATGATATATGAAAATATAAATAGTGAAATTATAATATTAACACAAAAAATTAAATATCGTTTGATTGAGATTGGGACGTTCCCATTGACAATACTCGTATAATTGGGGACTCACTCGACGAGTTATTCATTACAAAGAAGAGTCCAATGAATCACAGAAATAAATAATAATTGTAATTGTTAAATTTGTATACATATTCTTTATTTCTATTATTAAATAAATTTACAGTAAAAAACTTGAAGTCTATTTATTTTTGTATATGCTCGATTTATCGTATTCCAATGTTTGTTGTATACTGTTTTTGATTGTTCGTTATGCATAGTGCACTTCACTACGTGAGCGTTACCTATCAGTAACGTACGAAATTATGTAGTACATTTTTATGAAATTAAAAAGGGTAATTCATAGGTTAGAGCTGTCCTAAGAAAATAAACATAAGAACAGAGTCTATATAAAAATTACAAAAACAATACTTGTTATGAGTCGGATCAGATATAAAAAAAAATAAGAAAATAAATATTTAATCTCACAATACTGAGTAGCGGAAATATAGTAGGTACTGACCAAAATTATTATCAAAGAGAAAATAAAGCCTTGGAAAAATGTAAATAAAACGAATATAGAAAAAATCTTTAATATATCATTGTTAAGAGCGTAATATATACTTCTAAATATATATTTAGGGAACTCACATTTAATTTGAAACGAACCTTTAAATTCCCGAACGCACCCGAAGTGACGATAAAGCCGATGACATTTGATTTGTTCACACTTCACTTTTACGTGGGAAAGTATTTTGTCGACACGACTTGTTTTTGTAAATCGAATTAAACTTATTCAAGTGTTTTGGTTTAGGATAATAATTAGTTTGTTCCACTGTACGTTTGATCTGTTATTTAAATTACTGGTTTTATAAGACAACTACATATATATTTTTAATGATTTTGTTAGATAAATATATAATTTACCTTTGCGAAGTCTATCAAGTTATGGTATTCTATGTAACTGCCTCCACCCACTACGAACACTACAGCGTCAGTCGGCGGCGCGTGCTTGGCGCGTCTGGTCGCGTCACTCCGAGCAGCTCTTGGATCCAACCACGATAATTCACCCTCGGAACTGGTTAGCGCTGATTCTACTGAACGACTGACTGGCAGCTTCTGTTTGTTTAAATAGATATTTTAAAGTATATAGTATATTTTGTATTAAAGTCGGTGGTGGCTCAGTGGTTAAAAAGCCCGCCTCTCGTCGCCGAGGGCGCGGGTTCGATCCTGACCCGGGCAAGTACCAATGTGATTTTTCCGAATCATATGTACTTTCTAAGAGTATTTAGACATCACTGATTAATGTTGATTCCCAAAAAGAGGGTTGATGTCAGGCAGGCGGCCGGTCGTAAAAACAAATAGCCAAAAAAAAAACTATTCACAACATGTAAGGCAGACCCTGGCTATAGCTGGGAAATTGGCAGGTAGAAGAAGAAGAAGTATATTTTGTATTAAAATATCTTAAATATATTTTTGAATTTAACTACTATTTTATAGTGGACATAAAATGTAGTTTCATTTATAATCATATCAAAACTTATTGTTTATATATTTTTTAAACATGAGTACATATACTTTATATACATTTAAAAAACACGTGATTACAGTAATACGTCATAATACAACACCTTTTCTAAAACCCGAGTATCCTGTGAAGTTCTTTTTAACTACTACGTAATTATACATTAGACGTAAAATTAATATTTCTTTAAAACCTCAACAGTTGTTGATAACCTACATAATCATATCGATGTTCTATGGAATATTAGGTATCACTACTTAATAATTTATTTGAAGATTTCTCTTTGGCATTAATTTTTTTGTACTCAAATACAAACTGAATCTTTAAAAAAATATAAAAATACGACTAGTAACTTATATTTTGTTACTTTTGTTTGTTCTTATTTAGACATTCTTCAACTTTTTTCAGTATTCTTATTTTCATTGTAAATTTATGTCCACTCAGTGTTAGTAAATTTTTAAAATGAAAAAGTGAATAGTTGCTAAAGACGAGTGTTGTAATATGACGTCATATTTTAAAATTCAATATCTCGAAAAGTTTTCCTATAAATCCTTGTTATACAAGACTTACTTTGACTATTTTACTTAAATTAATATCTTACGAAGAAAACTAATTAAAATTAGCAGTTTATAGAAGGTAGACTTACATGTTTCTTAACAACCAAATTCTTAACCCCCTCCATAACGAACGACGATCCTTGTGATACTAATTTTGAAAACATCGACACAGTCTTTGTTCCGCCGCCTTCGTATTGACCTTGACTTGACATTTTCGTAAAACCTCTGCCAAAAAAATAAATATATATAGAGAAATAACATAATATCTTTCTATATGTGCTAAGATAAAAAAATTAAACTTCACATTTAACAGAAGTAAAAATCTATCCAAATTAGTTTCAAAATCATATTCAAGCAATTTAAAACTAGATTACTAAGACGTGAGTTACTTTATTTACACAATTTATCTTGTCCCTCTGACTTATCTAAATATATAAAAATGAATTGCTGTTCGTTAGTCTCACTAAAACTCGAGAACGGCTGAATGGACTTATCTTAGTCTTGAAATGTTCGTCGAGGTTCAGGAAAGGTTTAAAAGTTGAGAAAAATCGATTAATTTCCGGGAAAACCCTAAAAATAGCCCTTTTCTATTATAATAGCCATACAAACGTTTTGTTTGACATTAGATTTGATAACTAATTAATATGTCAATCATTCTGTTCGATTGGAACAGGAAAAACCTGATTATTTATGACCTCTAAGACGGAATAGAGTTCGTCCGGTCAGCTATACATATATTACTAATGACGAAACTAACGCGGACGAAGTCGCAGGCAAAAACTAGTACTCAATATAAAAACTCACTTCCATCTCTTCATGTATGTCATAGGCTTGATGTCGCAATTAGCTGCGAGTAGCGCAGTTTCAAACTTCTTATATTCTTCCTCTGGTACTTGTGATGTACACAAATAATAAATAATAAATAGACGCATCTTATCTTCCTCTGTGCCAGCGCTCGTGTCAGTAATCAGATCCATAACAGCCTTACTTTCAACGCCGCTGCTCTTACTCATTATCTTTTCTTCCAATTCGAAGAACGAATCTAGCCTCCTTGATTTTATTGCGTTTAGGATTGCTGAAATTAGATAAAAATATTACTTTAGAAAAGATTTGTTGGCTATACTTACATTGTAAATATAATTTCATGATAACATTATGTAACTGTCATTGAAAAAAATCACAGTAGCTCAAAATTTCATGCATTAATTTTTATAGCATTCACACAAAAATGCCAAAACAGACGCTCCTATAGGAATATTTGGTTCACTTGGACATTGATAAATAATACTAATAATATACTAATTTCTCACCTGTGGCGATGGTGGTGTGCATATCAATCAGTCTCTTCTTTTCCATCAGCTGTGGCAATGAATTCACAGCGCTGGTCAGTCGTTGAGTGTTGTCACTCACCATACTTAATGCGAGGTCACTGTCTGCGTCTAAACCCATAGAACTCTTCAATTTCTTGACCTCCGCCTCTGAACTCCTGGAAAAATATATATTCTTTTATAGTCATGTATAGTAGAAGAGATCTTAAGATTGTCAATATACTTTTCATGGTAATCAAATTTACAAGTAAACCAAAGTCATCTGATTCTAATTTGTTATTGTATCTTATAAATATTTACCATGAAAGGGTATTGAAAAGGGATTTATAACTTGATAACCTATATTACCTATATAATACCTTTAACTAAGACCCGAGAAAAAGATAATTGAAATACACATATGGGTTTACTAAGATATCTACTCCATTACTTGATAGCAAATTTAATGTTGGTGACCACACAAGTTGATTATAGCATAAGATAGGCTGTTATACAATTTATTTAGACTAGGTGTGACTGTAGCATTATATGGGATTACATACATATGGCTAAGAGAAAAGTAAATGGGCCTAACGCAAAAACTACTGCCATTCGTAATGAGATTTCAGTAGTTATTTGTCTCTCAGATTACTTTATTGGCATCTTAATACATTATACAATATACATTATATTTCACCACGGCTGACCAAAACATATATAAATGTAGTAGAATAAATACTAAAAGTATTAATTAAATAAAATTACTAATAGTTTTTCTTACATAGTAAAATATGCAAGAAACGTTAACTGGTTGGTGATTTATTAAATAACGATAATAAAATCCAACAATATTGTATGAGCCAAAAAAATAATGAAAAACCTATATTTATATTAAATAACTTTATCAAACCTATATTTGTCTAGATCTTCTTGAATAGCTTCTGCTACTGTGGGGAACGGGCTTCCTTTGTGTTCAGACCACAAAGGGTCTTTAGAATCCAAGTCGCATGTTCGTGTTTTAACTTTCTGCCCTGGAATTACTGGCCCAGAGTTCTCAGGTACGACTGCTCTGAAAAATACAATAAAGTAAAAAGTACATAACACTGAGATTGGGGTCACCTATAAAAATAATTTGTTGGGTAATTTAGATGTAGGTTTCAAAATTTGATAATATCTTTATATAAATAATTCTTCTGTGAGTATGTATGTCACTGAACTTCTCTCAAACAACTGGACCGATTTTGATGAATTTTTTTGTGTGTGTTCAAGGGGATCTGGGAATGGTTTAGATTCACAATTTTGTCTGTTGGACAATGTTTTTTCAATTAATTTTTAATTTATTAGTAGTTCTTGATACAAACTTTTTTTTTTACATTAGATTTGACAACTAACTAATATGTCAAACATTTTGTCGCACTTCAAAACACGGAGATTTATGGCTGTAATAGATAAACTCCAAAATTATAAATAAAAAAACATAACGGATATTTCTTGATTATAGGGCGATATGAAGTTCGCCGGGTCTTCCAGTTATCTTATAAAAATAAATAAAGAGTTAGGTATCTAAAGTATCCTGCTGTTGGATACAATTTAATATCTCAATACTACCACTAAATTTTATTGTTTAATAAAAATAATTGCATATTAAAGTATTTGTGAAATTATGCACGAATTTTGTATAATGGTTTATATGAGATATGTAAATGAATAATACTTAAATTCTTATTCACATAGATTTACATCTACATCACTCCATACAAGTGTTGACACTACAGATATTTATGACCTTATTGTTTCAAAATTTGGTAATAATGCCATCTATCCAACATAAAAAGAAGTATTTTCGACCAGTCGCTACTAGCGCCGCCGTCCAGTTAACGTGGCCATAAGAGGCACTACTCGCTGCCTATTCTACTGATCCAGTTTTGTGTAATGTGTGCAAAAATTAAAAACCCAAGCAAGTGTATGGAATGGTTATCCTTCATATAAAAAGTAATCATAACCACACAATTCATAGTAATTTTTATTTTAGCTGGTTTATTGCATATTTTTTTAATGTTATTTTTTTTTATTACTTTTAAGAGAATAAATGAATAAATTGTAATTATTTGATTTTATTGATGCTTCATAGAAAATTATAGTTGTTAATAATGTACAAGACTTAATTGATAAAAATTAACTTAAAATATATGTGATAAAAAATAGAATTTTGAAGTACTTGTCAAAGTTTGATCAATTTATTCAATTGAAATATAAAATTCAATAAATACAAACCTGTTCAATGATAAATCCAAGACATCATGAGCCAGAGCCTGGTAAGTCCATGTGTGATGTAATGGTGTTGCCATATCAATATTTCTGTCCAACAATATCAACATTGGCCTCGTGAAGCTAAAAGTTCCAGCTTGCCCATGGAATAAATTATTTCTAGCATCCCAGAGATTTTCCCTTAATTTTTTGTCCAATTTCTTAGCCACCATTTCCGCTGCATTGCCTTTTGTACATCTTATTATTGGAACATTACCTGAAAGTTTAAAGTTTAAACATTACCTGAAAGTTTAAAGTTTAAACTGCAAACTGTATCGTGTAAACTGCAAACTGTATCGTGTATAAAGTAAACTGTAAACTGTATCGTGTAAACTGCAAACTGTATCGTGTATAGTGTAAACTGCAAACTGTATCATGTATTGTACAAACTGTAAGTGTATAAAGAAATTTATAAGTTTCATCTTTTTTATTAAATAAATGACAAACATAAGTAATGGTTGCCAGTGAGAAATTTTTAATAACATACCGAGTGTGACGAAAACTGAAAAAAGACTTTCTACAATTTCATCCATGATTGCTTCCATTTCTGTATCTTTAGTATCTCCTTTATTAATAGCTGAAAAAATATTTTAAATATTATTAAATATTCTTTGGTAAATAAATAAAAAGGTTGTTTAAATAGGTACTTAGAACAGACAAAATTTACATGTTGTTTGATTAGACTATAAAAAATAGTATTTAGGAAAATAAAGTGAAAAGATATTCTTGTACTACCATTATAGTCATTACTTACAAATTTTGTTTCCATATTAAACATAAAACTCACCATAGTATGACAATGAATCAGATTTCTGATGCTTCATTATAAACAGATCATCTTCCAGGCATATAAAATTTAAATACTGATCAAATACTTTATGAATACTCATAACAGAGTTAGACTGTATCGCGGAAGCAGCCAGATCTTCCAATTTCTGCCTTGTTATTGGTGATATAAAGTTTAAATGATACTGGTCATATATGCCATTATCTAGGTCCTGGCATATTCTGCCAAGGTTTTCTTCTGTAGGAGCACAAAAGTATACTGCCGGCACTTCAGGTATTGAGTCTCGGTCAGAATGAAGTTGGCTGAATACAATAATTATATAACCAATATTACTCATCACGAAAAATATTAGATATATAAAATGCTATATAAGTTTTAATATTAGATATATAAAATGCTATATAGTTGCTATATAAGTTACTCACACATGCAAAGTAACACCCAATTCTCGGAGTTCTTTAATGGATATAAGCGGTGAAATAATATCTTGGCCCACTCTGTCAAAAATCAGTACTTTCCAGGTTGGTTCATTAGCCACTGCCTTTGTTAATGGCTGATTCAAGTTGAGCATCTGCTTCAACGCATCTAGAATAAATGAGTGATATAGAGTGGCTTGAAAATGAGTTGTATGCAACAATACAATAATGTGTATTCTTACTATAAAGCTGTTTAATACTTCTATATTAGATTTGGACAACGTATTATACGCTATATTTGTAAACAATTTACAAGGAATGATCTTATTTATAAGAATTTCCATAAAGATAGTACAACTGTTGTATTATGACTTACTGAGTTGGCGTTCCCGTAAGGTTGTCATTTTGTTGAAAAGACTTAAATTCCATTAATTAGAATAACATTTAAGAATATCAATTTCACTTTAGGCGATTCTATTAAGATTATTAAAGTTTTAGTTTATGCTTCTAAAAATCGCTCATTATTTTCTTAATAATTTTCATTGATGTCAAGTTGACGTTGACTGTAAGTGACACGTTGGCTCTGACAACTAAAATTTAGAAACGGATTTAAAGACTAAATGTTAACAATAATGATTTTTCTTTTTAATTTATTTAAATTTTCGAAAAAATCGTATTTTAAAATTAATTATAAGTATTAATTTTTATAAATTTATTGATTTAAAATAAATAAAAGAGTTCAAAATGATTGAGTTAGAATCTTTGGAGTAGAATTTAAAAAAAGAATCATATTGTGTGCATATAGATTGGCAAAGTGTTTTACAATTCCAGTGTGAATAAACTATGAAGCCAAAATAGACAATAGCTTAAAACAGGAGGACATATAAAGATAACAAATAAGTATTTTCAATTCATCCAGTCTAACAAATGGAAACATACATCTGTTTGTTAAAGTTACACATACGTATTGTCTTAAAATTTCTTGGGTATACATAAAACTAAAACCACTTTTTATTTACGGAATCACTCGAGGAATGAAGGGATGGATATAAATAACTTACATTGGTAAATAATGTAAGAGAAGTGAGAAAAATAAATATTATTCCTTGAATAAATATTTGCAAGACAACTTTATTATTAATAGGAACCGTTTTAATTTAATTGCGGAGTTCGAAAATCAGATAGTAGTGCTGTGTTATTTTTATGTTTAATACTTACATTATCAATAATAGAGATTTCTTTAGGCCTGGACAGAGGATTTTTTTATTAAATATTTTTGCAATAAACTCATTTAGCTTTATTGAATTATCTTTTATTTATTTACTCGATATCATGGTTTTTGCTTTTTGCGTAACAATATATTTTTTTGGTTGAATAATTAATCAAACTCGAAGTGGAAGTATGTTGTTCTGAAACCTAGTCACCCAAAATGTATGTTCGCTAATTTTAACATGCATATTCGAGATAGTTACTAAGATTTTTATATTGTAACAGGACTCGCGAGATTATTTCCGGGATTTTTTTTTCGTACATAAGGTTAAAGATTACTAGCTAATAATAGACATCTCGAAACTCATTTTCTGTTGAAGCGTATCTGCTGCAAAAAGAATCATGCCCACCGTTGTCAACTGGAGAGCATCTACCTGGGCCTGAATTCTTGTAGAAATTTAGAAAAACCGCTTTTTATGTATTTCAGACTTGTCCTCTTAAGTTTAACGTATTAAAATTCCTGAAATCTGAAGAATCGTCATTGTCATCAGCCTATTAGAGCCCACTGCTGAGCAAAGCCTCTTTCTCACAAAGAGAAGGTTTGAGCATTAATCACCACACTTACTCAAGACGGGTTGGTGATTTCAAACTTATAATTGTGAAATTATAAGTCGAGGTTTCCTCATGATGTCTAAATACTCTTAGAAAGTACATATGACTCTGAAAAGTCACATTGGTACTTGCCATTAGAATTCCTGAAATCTGAAGAATACGGCTACGTTATGGTCTAAAACCCTGAATTTTTTTTTGGTATTAGGTACTTTATATAGCAGAGGTAGTTACTACGAATGTAATTTTTGTTCACTCCTGTCCGGTACCCTGAATACCAATTTGTTTTTTGAGATTTCAAACTTGAAACAAGTCACATTGCCGAATTTTTCATATTCACAGACGACGTAGGGGTTATAACACTGCAAAAAATTATGTACTGTTGTTCGTGTAGATAACATTTGTATAACCTTATAGTCGTACAGTGAGAACGTTCTGATGAAGATTCTTATATGGTATTTGCGTGTTTGCTATTCTTTCATTGAAGTACAAGATTTAAAATATTTTTTCTTCTATCTTTTTCAGTCATATTAAGATATGTTTCGTGTAAGTATTTCTGAGCCAGTTGGTCACCCTAAGAACTTCAGAAAGAGTGTTACTTAGTCTTATCGTCAGACGCACTAAGACTTTCTTTTCTGTAACGTAGCTAATATACAACTTCTGTCATACCAAGTTTGTCAAGGATCCCATTATGAGAAATAAAACCTGAAATTGAAAAATATTTAAGTACCTATATGGAATTTAAATAATGAATTGTTCTTTTAAGCCTCTATTCTCGTACAAACTTTTGTTTTCATCCTTTTTCATGACACGGCAAGCCTAAAGCGAGTTAGTAAATAAATTTCGTTTTATTGAGAAAAGTCAAGGGTTATTCAAGCTCTTTATGATAAAAAGGTCCGATATTAATATTAAGCAATGGACCTTCCCTGTCCTTGCCAGAATTCTTCCTTAGTAAATTTTGTAATGCTAACGCATCGATTTTTCTAGAAAAGCAGTCGCAGATTAAATTTATGTTGTGAAATAACTTGTTAGCAATATACAATATTACTTTACTAAAAGATCAAGGAACATCTAAACTTTTCTTTGAAATACGTTTAATTTGAATTAAGTATATTTCTGTAAAGTGAATTATTATTATATATTAAATACATGTTTAACATCGAGCGCTTATTTGACTTTGAAGATTTTTTTATCATTTTCTTTTTCTATTAATATAAAATCTATATAGTACGAGTATATATATGCATATGTAGTTACATTTTTTTCTTGCAAGATACAGAAGAATAACGTCTAATTTAGATATAAAAGTATTCACCATTTTTAATCACAAACAAATCCCTACTAATATTATAAATGCGAAAGTAACTCTGTCTGTCTGTCTGTCTGTCTGTCTGCTACGCTTTCACGCCTAAACCACTGAACTGATTTTAATGAAATTCGGTACAGAGATAGAGTTGACCTTGAGAAAGAACATAGGATAGTTTTTATCCCAGACTTTTGAAAGGTTCTCTTGGAAACGCGATATAACCGAACTCCACGCGGCGAAGCTGCGGGCGGAAAGCTAGTATAAAATAATAGCAAAAGTCACCCTTCCTAAGTTCAATATACATACGTGGTTTTGATATAATAAAGACGTATTTAGATAAAAGTTCGTTGGTATAAATGATAAATATAAATGTTTCCCGGAAATCTTGATAATTTTAAAGTCTTGAAACTCGTGATTTGGGGTCTTTTCTTAGAAAAAATGTATACACAGAATGTCCAATTTGAAAAAAAGATGTAAGGAAGATAAAAGACACAATATTATGAAGCTGTAATTTTGCTATACTTTTCGTACCGAGTGACTTTTTATTTAAAATAACAACGTGTAACTAGTGAAGTAATATTTGACCTTTATCGTGGTAAATGTCTTTGTTATTTTTTTCGATTTTCATAGTTTAACAAGTATTGTTTATTTTTTAATTCTTAACATATTTAGTTTTTGGACACGTAGTTAATTTTCTGTTTTAAGAAGTATACCTAAGTACTTAAATGTTAGTAAATAAAGTATGTTTTACTAGTGAGTATATTTTATTTTAACAAAATAAAATATCAATATAAAAATATAAACTGAGAGCGAAGGACCACCGCTCATTCTGTCACTTATCCTGTTTGTGATTTATATTATAAACAACAAATTCTGAGACATCTGACATATTTTGAGAAATTTGCTAACTTTGTCAAGAATACTTTTATTCTCATTTTTTATATGTTCATTTTTAAGAAGAATGTACAAAGATAAGGAAGTCTATTTGCGATTATTTAAAAGTAACATTCTGTAATTAAAGACGCTTTAAATTTAATATTCTTTGTTTATTCTATGAAAATTTTAATATCATTCATGGCGAGATATATAGGGTAAAATTAATTCAGCCCCACAATACTCCTTTCTACATATCAATAGAGTATTGGGAAAGAGGGTGATGTCCTAATTATTATGTTAGGTCGACCGCTATAACTCACAGGTTTTGGGATTCATTCACACCCGTTTTCAGACAATGCGGGGATTCTTTACACGTGGCCCATGGTGTTTTGGGCGTATCTTTATTATTATATGGAGCTAAAACTATTTTAATGGGTTATAATTTAAACTAATTATATTTAACGAACCAATTCACTTACAGAAATATTATAGGAATTTCTATTTTAGGCTCTCTTAACAATCAAAATATCGTCGCGTACTAGTTATGTATAGAAAAATAAATAGTATTATAAATATTTCTCGTCAATCTCGGAATGTAGAGCGAAATATAAAGTTTGAGAGTATTTAATAAACAATTTTGTGAATTGTGACCCGTTGTTGTCATTTGAAAAGTATTTATGGAATCTTAGAAAATATAATTTTATAACGAGAACTGGAAGTTTTTAAAGTAAATAATATTATTATAAAGTTAACGTGAAATGTTTATATATTTTTCCTAATTGATATTAATGTATTCAAATGACTTACGTGTATTATTAGTCTATCTTTGATTCCTTCGCTGTAAATTAAAAAGGAAGTAAATGAAAATTCTTATTAGATTATAAAAACTGAATATGATTTTCGGTATATTTAAAAATGTTTACAACTTTTAAATCAATTAAAATGTATTTAATTACAAATCCTTGCAGTAACTTATTGCTCTATTTTTTCTGTTTCTACTCTTGATTACAAAAACAATATTCGCTTTAAAAGCCTCGTCTATGACAGCAGCTTTGCCAAATACTTCATTACCATATATGATTCCAAGATTTCAAACGTCAATATTAGCTTATGATTATTCAATATTTAATCGAATTGAAGGCCAATACATAAATACAAATGAAACTAATATTTTCGATTTATTACGCGATTTTTGTTTTTGATTATAAACTACATACCTACTCCCAACGTCCCGGTTACTTTACAGCATCACGCGATCACGGGCAGACGAGATGTGACCACTGTTCCTGTAGTTTATAATCAAAAATAAAAATCACGTAGTAGTCAGAAAACATTAGTTTCATATAATAAGTACTCGCGAAAATCTTAGACCTCATTACATAAATATAATTTTAATTTTCTGCA